CCTTAGATGCATTTAAACCTGTTGTAGGGGACTCCAACACAATATTAGGACACTTTAAAATACCATATGACCTGTTCTTTAATAACTTTGATACGTTTAAAAACATCAATATTCAATCCCATTTAAATACCACAGGGAAAAATTGCCACACCATTTTTGAACAGTACAGAAGTTAAATTAATTTTGACCATTTTCTTATCAACAAACTCTGAACTGTAACTCTGAAACTCTGAACTGTAACAACAAGAATATTTTATAATAAGTATATTATATTACTTTAGTTTTAAAATTGCAGCACTTAAGACTTCATTTCTTCACTTGCAAGGCTTAAACCTTCAAGCATTTATGTTGCCAGAAAACTCCAGCGAGGCCTTTAAGTGTATGTTCAACAGGTTTGCAAATGCTTCTCATTACAAATCTACCTGAAATGTGTGAAAGCATAACATGCTGTAATCATCTGCCCATAAAATGTTGGAAATTATGCATATGTGAAAAAGTATAACTGGTGCACAATGTGTTCCCAAATGCAGATCACCCAGCCCTACCACAAGTGGTCACACATATCTTCCTTCATTTATAGTCATACAGACTGATTATACTTCCTGCTTAAGCCATACTTTCTCCTGTGTCACCTATGCAGCAGTTTAACCCATTTCCCACTGCTTTAAAATAGCTAATAATAATGCATTTCCTCGTGCAGCGCATGCAGATGTGCCAGATATAGCAGAGCGGCTCCAGCAACTATCTGTCAAGTGCCATTTTAAAGGATTATGGTGTATACATTACAGTCCTGCAAAGAACGTAGAGACAGCTTAAAATGTTTGTGCTAGCCAGTGCCTGCCCGCCTAATATGCAGACCCTACAGCCTTCTGACATTGATGAATTTTTAGATCGCTGGATCAACATCCTCTCGTGGCCTCTTTGCATAAGTGATATTCACTATTCCAGAGGCTCTTTAGTTTGCCATGCCAACAAAACCCTTTTTTAGGCTTGCAAATCATGAGATGACATGTTTACCGCTGTCAAAATGAAGAATGATCGAGTGCATGTTCTGAATTACTTTCAAGTGTGAGATAACTGAGGTGGATTTGGAGCTAGTTGACATGCTTTGTTCACACTTCAATGTACTTCTAAGTTCTCAAGGTTCCTCTCATTTGGAAATAACAGCGACAACAACAGCAATCCAAGTCAGTTACTGAAGCAAATGTAAATACCAGCAAGTTTCATGATTTAGCAATGCCAATGAAATTAACACTACATTGGTTTAGCTTCAAAGTCAACCAAAAATAATCACCTAACAAATAAAACGATCAATGATAAGTAAAGGAGCTTGGGTCACAAGGACTTTACTCAACTCAAGGTCTCACTGGTTGGTCTTAGACAATATTTAACCATTGAGAGGAAATTGCAGTCTACTTATAGTCAGACTGGTCCAAGTATACTATATTTTATATAGCTTTTAAAGGGGTTATATGATGTTGCTAAAAAGAACATTATTTTGTGTATTTGGTGTAATGAAATGTGTTTATGCGGTTTAAGGTTCAAAAAACACATTATTTTCCACATACTGTACATTATTGTTTCTCTTCTATGCCCCGCCTTTCTGAAACGCGTCGATTTTTACAAAGCTCATC